CAATTATCTGTTCAATTTATAAACCACAATTATTAATTAAATAGTCTGTCAGGAAATCATACATTTTACCAGAGATACACTGTAAAAACTCATAGCAACGAGTGGATGTTTCAGCCGCAAGCAGCTTGTTTTGTAAGCTGTTTATCAGTTGTAGGGTGCTGATTAAACAGTGAAATTACAGGGTGAGGCATGACTTCTTAGTCCTATTCAATGACTACATGTCATTACACATAAGTCTGTCACACAATAGTTCTGTACATGTATATAGACGAGGTTACCACATACCATCACGTGGGCCATGAACTTGATTGCGATTCTAATTACATAAAAAATAGTATGTACCATCAATTGGACTTTATTAAATATTCTCATATCAATTAATTATTATACTATCATCATAGTACTCTACCACAAAAAACAGTTAACACAATAATATAATTAGTGTTTGTAATATAAGTTGGACTCCATTTTCCGTAATTAGCCTCTCACCTGGGCCGTTGTGCGTGATATAATTAGTGTTTAATTAACATTTACTGCGCTGGAACCTATATGGGAAATCTATTTTTATTAATATTAAAACTTGCCGTTGGAATATGTGGTTGAACTTCTTTAGGACACTTCAGCACAAATGCTTCCAATGCTTGCAAGCAATGTTCACGCAATTCCTCATCAGCATCTGTGGAATGTTCTAGAACTTGAGGCGCGACACGCCATAACTGCTCACCAAATCTATGTCCAGCTTGACGACTAAAAACAGAATATTTTTAATAGGACATTTTTAACACCACAATCAACAACTAAACGAATTCTTTTCTCAGCGTTTACTACGCATAGGGAGTTACTTCGCTTCATTTATCATCTGTATTGTAAGGATATCGATATTTTCACATGAATATGATAAATAAAATAATGTCTCTGTCCATCTTTTTGTTACCTTTGCGGAACTAAATGGCTGAATGATGACGTTAATGAAATTTGAAATGATAATAGATTGTATTACAAGAATTGATGTAAGCCATCTTGAAGTGACAGATAATGACTACTTATTATAATTACACCATGTGACCTATTTCCTCCCGCTCAATAACTTCCAAGATAACTAATAAGGGGGTATTAAGTTGTTTTTGGTTTTAATTCCCTTCCACTGTAACCTATATAGGTTACTGTGGAAGGGATATCTAGGTATATATCTAGGTTCAACTATTATATTCTTTCATATACATTTGATGCAATTTGAACCAAGAGGAAATGATTGAATGTTTGCAGTGCAATAGCAACGTTGTAAAGGCGCTGCTCATGACCTTTGCAGTGCACCCACCTTCGGAACAGCAGCTGACTTTCATTGGACTCTATTATACAACTATCGTAACCATCTTAGAAGTTTTTGAACTGAGGAAAAAAAGTAATATATATGAAAATATAAAAAGTATATCAGAAATAAAAGTATGTAGTTAATATCTTACCATACAGAAGCAATGCATTGTATGTGTGTGCGACTGACACTTGATGATGTTGATGAACCCAGTCCTTCCAATAGATGATCAATAAGTTTGTTATACAGAGATGTATTACAGGACATAACCAAATGTGATAATGCAACTATGGTGCGTTTACGAACTGCCTGCAATTATTTTTTAAATGATAATAAGAAGAAAAAATTCTCACACTGTGCAATATTAAAATCTATAATATGGCACACCTAGTTCAATACTTTTGAGTTAATACATAATTTTAAAAATTCACACTCTTATACTTTTAAATACTCTAGAGTGGATTCTTCAAAGTCTGTATTTTTTTAGTTAATTCAGTATAAGACAAGGTATGTGATAATTTAAATTAAGTGTAGTATTTCATATTGTATACAGACATTAATTATACTTGTATATCAGTAAAATTAGTAAAACAATAATACTATGTATAACTAAGAAATATTTATTTAGTTATATTTACTATAACAAGTTATTCAATAACAACAAAATCGAGCTGTTTAATATGCATTGTTGTACCTGGCGTGGTGATGCAAGCTGCGGAAGCAAGGAATTTAATAGCATTGTGTGAAAGGATATCAAGAGACCACCAAATCTACTAAGCAAATCAGCTAAAATATCCAATGCCTCCAGCTGAACAGAAACATCTTCTTGCTGAAATTAAATATTATTTAGAACATTTTAAAAATAATAATAACACAGGTCCAGGAGTGTGCTTTGGGTGCTAAACAACTAATATAAATACCTACATACATTTTTTGTAAATATTATTTTGTAAATAGTATACATAGAAAACACTCAGGCCAATACAAAAATGATAGTCATGAGTACAAATGTTTGCACCTTGGAAAGTAATAATAAACTGCTGAGGTCGTAAATATCTCAATATATTAGGGATTATAAATCACTAACAATAAAAAAATATCGACAATTTTAATTAAAACTTAATTATAATATAATTAACACTCAATTTAACCATATGTTCAAAATATTTTAAAATTATTGATTAGAACTACTATTTTATATATATTATTATTATGGAAATAAAAAATCTTCTTTGTCTGTCTTTTTTATTGAGTGAGACAACACTTCTTAATGAAGAAAAATATTTCTATATGTATATAAATCTTTCTATTGTTTTAATAGGGGTCTGTGATCATAAATATTTCATTACTAAGCCTTCACATCATCAAATCAAGGTGGTCAGAAAAACAGACATTTTTAATCTGGGTTAGCCAGCAATATTTGCAAAATTTTTTAGTAATACGTGATATGTATAGTAACAAAACACATACAGAAACATCTCACTGACTATAATACAATTTTAAGATATTTATTAGTATTTACGCCAAAGTCTAAACACACCTTTTCAATAGCACTGCTCAGTCTCCCAGTAATTTTCTTACATACATTTGCTGCAAGAGTACTGGAACCCAATGGAAGTTCTGATATAACAGTCTTCAAGCCAATGCTACTTATGTCCCGCAACTGTTCAGTGTCTGAGAGCATGTTGGCACAAAGAGTCTCTACAATGCTCTCAACTTGAAACTCTTTTACCTTATTTACAAGGGGTCCTAGGCTGAAATAAAAATATTGCTATTTTTTATATGAGAATACAGAACATCATATGACACAGAAGAACAATGACGGTTCTCTGAGAATTGACTACCACAAATTGTAAACATCTGCATAATTGTATTCTGGAAACCATCTATTTCCAATAATAAGAATTGTTTGAGAATGTATATTATCTCACATTTTTTAACTGTAGATAGTCCATTAAAATTTATTATATTGAAGTCTAAATTGACAATTATCATATTGTCAATTGAGACTCTGTTGTCTAACTTCTGTGTTTAGGCTGTAAAAACTTGTTGAATTGTAATTTTCTATTTTAGACCATTAGTTTTAAACTTTTAAAAGCTGCCACATTATTTTAAAATTCACATACCTACACTAGTGTTTCCATTACTAACTTGCAAGTTAAATAACCGAAAAAAGAAACCTTTTTGTGGTTTCCATGAAACTGCTAACAAAATTTTTTAACTAAGTGGATGTTTTATGAAATATGGCACAATATGAAGATCATTTATTTTCTATTTTGGTGAAATATATGACAATTAAAAAACTGTATTGATACAACATACCTATATTTATTAATACATATACTTTATAATTATTTTGTTAATATGATTTAAATAAACACCCACACTTCAATAGAGTATAAACTACAAAATCAGTAATAAATATTAATTTCTGACAATATTTAATAATCACAAAAACCTGGCAACAGTGTGATATTGATTTTGTATCGGAGAGATAATATGTAATTATTTCAATATTGCCTAAAATTAGATATTTTAAAGTCTGCTCCCAATAGATAGCTTGTGCACCATCTAGTCAAATAGTTTTCTATAATGTAGAATTAGCAAATGGCCTGTTCTCCAAGGAAATGTCTTACTTTTTGTAGTGTCCTGGGATATTCTGAATAATATATAAACTGCATACTGTGTTTTTAATTTATAAATTAAATATGGTTCCAATTTATAATAAAAAAACCTAAAACATTCCTTCACCTATTTTCACTACATATTACAACTCTATTACTGCATCCTATTTTTAAACTGAATAGTCCCTGTTTTATCAACTTCAAATACTAGTTTTTTAATTTGTGGTTGGCAACCTAACAATAGTGACATGTTAAGTTGTAATATAAAGAGAGTATACACGAAATATGTATTGAAAAATGTGTTATTTCTAATTTTCACAGTTTACCAACTATACAAAAAAAATCTTTCAAAAATATATTACTTAAATTAACTTTTAGGTTAACCCATATATTTTTTGGGCATACATACCATTTCACAGCTAAATTTTGTACCTCGCCATTCTTATCTTCCAGTAATCGAAGAAGCATCTTAACCACTTTTTTTTCTGAATCATCATCAAGTTTTATGCTGTCTTTTTGCAACTCTGTCATTAAATCGTTAGTTGCCATGAACCTGAAATCTTTATCATTGGAAGTCATCTGAAATAATTAATCAATTAAATTATGATGTCAACTCAAATTAGCTATTTAAGACATTATTTTCACTTATTATTGCCGGCTTACCTTCTCCAAAAGATTTGCAATTTGATAGGATACACTAGCCATTTTGAGATATTTTCAGTCTTTGACAATATAAACACGGAATAAGTGATTCAAATAAAATAAGAACTAAACAATTTTAAGAGAAAATCTTTTATGAAGAACCATTTGAAATATTATACGAATATTTAGGTGTAAAATAAGAGTTGTTCCAGCGAGACCCTGGTAAGCGAAATTATTTTTCTTTCAATTCCATTCCATGTCATTTGGCCAAAATTACAAGACTGACACTTGACAGCAATGACTTGCCATTACCGGGGGTGCCAACCTTAAAACATACGAGGACAGATCAAGATAAAATCTAAACTGCACTGTGACTGTTGATCTGTGCTGTACTGTCATTATGGTCATGTTGTTTAATTTGTAAATAACCTGAAGTAACCTAAAAACTTATTATAGAAACAGCCTTTATTTAATTTTTATAAATCGAAAAAGTTTAAAGTTCTCTCCTGAATCAATAGTAGTAATATAATTGCAATTCTACGTTTCAGTGTTACTATTTATAATGGATCTATTCGTTATTAACAGGTTTGTGTTATTTTATGCCTTAAACTTATAATCTCGTTACGACCACTGATCCGCAGCTTTTCTGGGGCCAAGTAGTTTCCAATACAAGGGGAAATTTTGTGTAGTTTGATAAGTAAAATCATCAGGGTATGCATTATTGAATATAATGATTTATTTAGAATCCGCTCTTCTCGGTGAACCGCGTAACAGGCGTAAACATATAATTGTCATTCTTGGTAATTACATAGGAGAGTTTAAAGTAGTAGTAGTTGAAGTATATTTCGTGTATCAAACGAAACCCAATACCAACCGGTGTACTGTTCAAATCGGACAATACCCATAACATAGGGCTTCTGTTTATTTTCGTTAGTCATTTCATTACCAACTAATATTTACTTTGTAAGTCTGTTATTAAATTTTTATTTAAAAGTAACAAATGCATTCCATGTTATTATATACTTGATTAATATATAAAATATATGTACGTAGTTCCACTGGGTAACTAAAAGAATTCTTATAATATTTTGTTTTTGAAAATGTAAAGTTTTTGTGTAGATATAGAGATAATAATGAAGAAGTAGACTGGGTAGATCAAGAATCAAAAAATTTAGAAAAATTAAAACAAAAGATTGAAGAAAGAAGGAAAACATGTGTAGATCACAAGCAATCAAATAATATAATACTTAAAGAAGTAAAGGCAATTGATGACGAAAAGGTAACACACAAAAATGAAGTAAAGGATATTCAAGAATATCATAAACAAGAAGTAGCTGCAACGGGTACAATAAAATCTCCAAATATACAAAAGCAAAATTTACATGAATTTAAAGTATTAGGTATAAAGGAGTTTGAGAAAAAAATAAAGGTATTTATTATGTCTTAAGAATTTGTAATAAAAATATTATTTCATTATTAATTATAAGATATTATTAATGTTATATTGTGTAGGTACAAAGGGTGTTACCCTATTGGCTGTCCCATCCACATAGTGTACCTACTGACCTGCAAAATTTATCATGTCCTGTGGAGAAACAGGAGTGGTTACATAATATTCTGAAATCCACATTACTTAGTGAAGGAGTGTTTCATCTGTTCCCAGTGCAAGAACATGTAATTCCATTTATTCTTAATCAACACAAACAAACAGCTCTCTGGCCACATGATGTTTGTGTTTCAGCACCAACTGGAAGTGGTAAAACACTGTCATTTGTTTTACCTGTGATACAGGTAAATATTTTACCACCACAAACAGAAAAATATAGTGCAATAGTTTCAGTGCATCGTTAATATAGATTATTATTTATAACAAAATGTATTACTTACAGATTCTAATGAATAGCATTGGTAATTATGTAAAAGCATTAATTGTTCTACCTGTGCAAGAACTAGCAACTCAAGTTGCCAAAGTATTTAAGAAGTATTGTACAAAGACTGGTTTAAAAGTTGCTTTACTGAGTGCTTCTACACCACTGCATCAAGAACAACAACAAATAGTTCGATATAGTATGTAATAATTTTGTGTACTTCTATTAACTATGATAATCTATATAAATATAAAATAAATAAATCTTATTTTTCAGCTGAATCAGTAGGGTGGGTCAGTGAAGTAGATATAATAGTATGCACCGCTGGAAGATTAGTAGAACACATCCAAAATACTAAAGGGTTTTCTTTGAAATGCTTAAAATTATTAGTTATTGATGAGGCTGACAGAATTATGGATAATATACAAAATGACTGGCTTTATCATTTAGAAAGACATATTAAATTAGAAAATGAATTAATGACTGGCAAAGTACCACCACTGAGTTGGAATAGTATCACTGAACAAAAAGCTTCACCACATAAATTGATGTTTTCTGCGACTTTGTCTCAAGACCCTGAGAAACTAGACCAATGGGGCCTTTTCCAGCCCAAACTATTCTCTGCTGCATCTGTTAATTTTGAAGATGAGAATCATATTAGGAAATATACAACCCCAGCAGAACTAACAGAAAAATATATAACTTGCACAGCTGAAAATAAACCATTAGTTCTGTATCATTTCTTGGTGGAGCAAAAGTGGAACAAAGTTTTATGTTTCACAAATGCAGCACAAACTGCACACAGATTAACTGTATTATTGAATCTTTGGGGTAATGGTAATTTAAAAGTTGCAGAGTTATCCTCAGCATTAGATAGATCAACAAGAGAAAATGTTTTAAAGAAGTTCACCCAATCTGAAATTAATGTGTATGTATATTTATTATTATCTGAGGTAACTGCTACTACTTATTTCCTTAAATATTCCAGTATATATAGTGATATTCATGTGCCTAGAATTTCATTCAACTGAAAATCAATTATTACCAAGTAAGTTAAACAGGCAAGACATTCAAGCAACTGAATACATAGTCCATTGACATGTCTATCTCTAAATTATATATATATATTGTATAGATAGATAATATAGTTAATAAATAATAATATATATAGATATGCTGGACCATATTTAAAAGCTATATAATATATATATATATATATATATAATAGCAAGGTAAATTGCATAAATACCTTAGATAAAAATAAGCTGACATTAGTCTTAATATCTCTGCACTTGCTCTGATCTCAAGTGATAGAAAAGATGATACTACCAAGTTCAGTTTTGCTTTCTTTTAAAATATCACCAACAGACACCGTTTTCGAGAAGCTATTGGGCCTAACACTGGGATTAGGCCCAATAGCTTCTCAAAAACGGCGCACAAGATAACATGACTGTTGGGTATATTTGCAGCAAAACAAAGTAATATTTGAAAGATGTAATCTTTGAAAATAAACATAATTTAATAATTACAATTACTAAGACTATACAGTTATACACTCCTGCCTGTAGCCGAATATTACTGATCATTGCGTTGACAGTCCATATATTTAAATAATTCCAAGTTCAACAGCATACTAATGTCAGATCGATTTCTACGCAGTTTAACCCTAGAAACCAACATGGTTAATTCCTTGTGGATTCGTCAGAATGGGTTAACTGATCTTGCCATATTATACCATATCATTATCAATGATATTGGTATTAAAATAGTCCCTGAAACTTGACTCGCTTCTACTTTTACTATGGCTAATTATGGAAATTAATAAAAGCTGTAATAAACAAGTAGTAATTAACATTATTCTATTTCAGACTGATTGGTACTGATGCATTAGCCAGAGGCATTGATATACCAAACTGTATATACGTTATTTCATATGATCCACCAAGAAACATAAAAACATATATCCATAGAGTGGGTCGAACAGGACGAGCAGGTCGCACAGGTCATGCTATTACAATCTTGTTACAGAATCAAATGAACATATTTATGGTAATTTTTATATTCATGTTTTACATTACTATAATTTCTTAAATTTGTGGATCATTGAATGTTAAAAATTATTTTTATGGTTTAAAATGTAGTTCTGTTTTACCCAAAATTTAACAATAATGGATTAATTACTGCTTTGAGAATGAGAACGTTGTAGCGTAGTGATTTACAACCTCGTCTAAAAGATACCAGAGGTCATGGTTCGGCAACGGAATCAGCTAAATAGGATAATAAAAACGTAGACTGCGGAAAAGCATCTACTTACCAAATCACATTAAAATCTTATTGATTTAAATATAGGTTCTCAATTAAATATGGGCATGTTTCTAAGCCAACAGTTTATGTGAGAATTTATACAAAATCCAGTCGCTCATAATTCACCTTTCTTTTTTAGGACCTTATCAGATCTAGTGGAAAATCAAAACTGCCTCAAATGGAAATTTCTCCTGAAATATTTGATAATTTATCTGATAGTTATCAATATGCTATCAAGCAGACAAAAGAGCATATTTACACTGAAAGCAATTCAAAAATTCAGAAATCTATTGACTTAAAAAGAGGTTTTAAAAGTAAAGCACAAAAAAAAGAAAACACGATGGAACAAAAAATTAATAATTATAAACGTTATTTTAAGGTCACGTTTATAAAATACTATGATATTGACTATTTCTTCATACCAGGCGGGAAAAACATTACTTAAATTTAATATAGATACACATTCAGCCAATTTTCTTTGGGAGAGAGAGGAGCGGAGAGAAAACATGACTAAAACTTATACTCAGATTGAACACATCTCATCTGACAATAACATGAGAATTACTAGCAATCATAGTTTTTATTTAAACATGATGATGATTCATAATTGCTGATATGAAAACGGTCTGTTATAAACTTGCAGAAGTGTAGCCAGAGACTTTTCGTAGATTATTTCCTCTCGGTCGAAAACGAAAGTCACATGCGGCTCCGAGGTTGGGTTGAGCAGCAACGACCTCGTAAACGAATTACTTTAATTTTATTAATAAAATTAAGTAATTCCTTTCCGGTTCAAATGATTATTATATCATAATTAACCCTAAATATTGACAATAAAAAATAGTCATATATTACAGCCTGCTTTTATTTATTCAAAATAGTATATCACTATTTTTTTTGCATGTTCGTGCTATTGCAGTAAGTAATATGAAATGCTTTCGGTATATATATATATATATATATATACATATTTATACTACGATGGTGGCAAGCAAGCATACGGCCCATCCAATGGTAAATGGTTACCGTAGCCTATGGACACGTGAGACTCCAGGCGTGTCACATTGCTGACCCTTAAGAAACCTTAATATTCCTTTTAAACCCCATGCTATAGTCCCATAAGAAACCCTGGGCAGGAAGTTCATTCCACAATTTAAGTGTACGCAAAAGGAAGCTCCTCTGAAACTGCACTGTCCAAGACCAATTAGGTTCTAGCGTGTTGGGATGAATTCCCTGTTGATGGCCATGGTAAAAGGTAGCCGTAGGCATCATGTCCAAAAATTCCTCAGAATATAGTCTGTTGTATATATGGTAGAACACACAAAGCGAAGTGAAATCTCGCCTCAACCTAAGTGTATCGAACCACTTAAGTTGAGGCGAGAGAAATCAAGATCAACGACAATTCTCATGAAACGTCTCTGATCCGAGTCAAAAGGAATGAGCTGGTGTCCATATCTAGGTCCGCCTTTTCTCCTGGAGGAGTATGGAACTCAACTGTGCTAGAGCTATTATCGACACCGAGAATCCCAATACTCTTAGAGATGATAGTGTCCTGAGATTGCGGAGTCACCGCCACACATCATGTAGTAACAACTAAAATTTTCTTCAAAAGCACAACTTACTGCTCTAAGGAAAGAAACATAAAAAATATCTTTGCTAATTTTGTTGTTCCATGACACCGCCATGATTTTTGATAGATGTGGTAGTAGGAGATATTTTGTAGACCATTGCTGCAGTTTTAAAAGTAACACAACGATGATTACACACCCCTTTGTTAATGTAATGATCAATCGATACCTACGTACCTATTAATATTGTATAATGTATAAAAAAATCATGTCCTTTTATACATATAAATAAAATTACAATGTCTGTTTGTACTATTGAAATAACCGTTTTATACTACATGCGTATGGATATACATACGGTACATACACCAAAATAATATTTTTTACAATTTTTGTCAAATATTTTGTAATTTTCTGTCTGTTTGTTCCGGCTAATCTCTGAACTGGCTGGATCTATTTTTACGAGACTTATTGGCTGGTAACTGATGTAATAAGGAGTAATTTAGACTACTTTTATATTAGAAAAGTAAAGTAATGATGCAAAATTCCACGCGGACAAAGTCCAAGCAATAAATAAAATTACTAATTTGTTTAACAAATTTTTTTATTTTATTTGTTCTCTAACATAAGGATTATATGTAAAAGCTGGGGACCGGATGTATGATGCTGCTGGTAATGCCATTTCAAATAATGGTGCATATATTCCATGACCTAACGCCAACTGTTCTGGTCTTTCATTAGACTTATTTCGTGTCTTAGCTACATCAACTATATCATCACGAAGCATCAAAATTAGTAATGTTGATTTGCAATGACTAATCGCTGCTGCTAAGTGCAGTGGTGTCTGGCCTAAAAACAAATTGATTAATTCTGATATTGTACTTTTTACGACCATTTGGAATGTTTATGTATATATCTCCAGTAAATTTAAAATCAGATAAACTTCTTTATTAAAAAAAAAAAACAGGTAAAATGCAACGCATGCAGAAGGAGTTATTAAAATGAGATAAGGTAAATTTATTTATCAAATATCAGTTAATCAAATACTACAGTAATACACAAGTAAAATGTTTCCCAAACTTTTCTGTGCCATGCTTCACCATATCTTTTTTAATCCTTATGACTTACTACAGACATGTTATTACTGAGTGACATTCATGGCTGGCAGCTCATTCTTTTTAAACATTTATATTAATTCGATACTTCTTTTGTTATATATCATTAGATTCTTTAGGAATTATACATGCATATATGATTATTACCGATTTTTAATAAATAATGGCACATGCCTTGCCACTGGTAACTGCCCACTCAGTTATTCACTGCTTAATCACACTCTACAACAGAAACAAAGCTTATAAAGAAAGGTACTTAACAGCTGAAATTGGTAAGACTGCGATATCTATACACACAGTTTTTTAGGCAAACCGTAAATTAAGATATCTTCTATTACCCTTTCTAAGAAAGTAAATAAAATCAGGCTCCATGTGAAAATTAACACCTTTCTTAATTCATATACAATTTGCTTGTACCTTTGTGGTCATCTAGTCTATTTTTAACATTACAAATAAAAATGAATATTCAAATTTAGTAATAGGGAATATTACCTCCTTCAGACAGAGCAGTAGGATCTGCCCCAGCAGCCAGTAGCCTTGCAGCAGCTTTATAATTATTCCAATTACATGCAGAATGTAAAGGAGTCCATCCATGTTCAGTTGTAGAAGTCACTCTAGCTCCTGCACTGAGTAAGTAACATATGCAAGCTAAATGGTTACCATAAGCAGCCCGATGAAGGGGGGAATAACCATCAGAATCTTGCACAAACACTAGTCCTGGTTGAGATGTTAATATGTCTGTCAGAGTGTCATGTTCACCATTTTCGGCGGCCCATAATACATGGTCTACTGGATTGGCTACAAAACAAAATAACAAAATTGTAATTTTATGAACAAAATAAAACCACTGTTTACTAGAAAGAAATATAATTACCCTTTTTATGCAATTACTTTTTTTTATTTATTATCAGTAGTATGATATGATATAAGTACTTTATGATGGTTATATAGTTCAGTATATTGCTTTATCATCCAAAGGTTTAATTTTCAGCAATATAAATAATGATATTCAGGACTACAATACTTTTAATGAAGATGTAACACACATACAAAACATGTATTATATGTAAAATAGGAATTGAAATATTAAAATAGGAAACTGTCATTACAGAACTAACATTATTTCTCAAATGCATAGAGAACAATAACTACCTCATGTTCCTCCATAGCAGGTAAATAGGAAAAAATTGATTCTGACTTTCATAACATATAACCGCTATTTTAGTGTCTAAAAAGACAGTCCTGTCTCTGTTACTGGATGAAGATAACATTAGGAAATTAGCACCGTGATAAAGTCACGATAGGTTCCAGCGGGACCGAATAGAGGTTGCATTGCCCGTGATGGGGCAAATAATGGTAAAATTACCTTTCGGATCCTTGACCAAATCAACGTCTTGATCGGCATCATCCCAGCCAGAAACAAACATTCCAGAAGTTTCAGGGTTCCTTTTGTATTTCTCAATTTCATCGTGAATATCATGAATATCTCTTAAACTATCGAAATCATTTTCATCAAAATCAGACATTTTCCAATAGATTCTGTTAATTCTAATATAAACTAAATTACTGTATTTATAGTTTATTATACTTTTATAGTTTACAATATTTTTAAAGATTTGAAAGATATTCCTATATTCATTCGAGACCAAAAACGTAAACAAAGAAACGTCAATCGCGCTTCTCAAAGTGACATCTAATGTCTTGTCAACATTACCATGTGCAATTAAAATAAATATTTAGTGTTGCATTATACTTTTTGGATTGCATTTCATGTAAATTTAATCATATTAGTAATTCAATTGTATATATAATGCCTAAGTCTACCTTTCATCATACCATCGCGAAGCTCGCTATCGACAGAGAATTGTTTAGTGTCTATCGTAAGATTTCAGAGGAGCTTCCTCCTGTGTATACTTACATTGTGGAATGAACTACCTGCCGAGGTTTTTTCGAAAGATTACAGCATTGGGTTTGTTAAGAGAGTTTAAGGTTTCTTATGAGACGGTAACACGCACCCCTGATTTCTCCGGTGTCCATAGACTGCATTAACCGTTTACCATCAGATGAGCCATATGCTTGTTTGCCACCATCGTAGTTTAAAAAATATAATATAATACGCATATACATACTTTTTACAGTTTTATGTCTTTCACACTAACAATGAGTGCTTACTCAATGTATATTAGTAATTTGACGATGTACAGGAAATATTAATGTAGTCACGTATTTTAATTATATCTGATCGGATGATTCTTGTAAGGACTGGTGCTGGTCTCTGCTCTGATATCTATGTCAGATTTATTTTCTTACTCAAATAACTATAATATTAGCATCCTGCACTCCTTCACTATATAAACTAAGGTGTGGTTGCACTACGCAATGGTTCGAACAAGTTTCTGCTTCATGTATTATTACATACATACTAAGTGTCTGGCAATGAGCAGCGCAAGTTATAATACTGTTACGAGCAATATGTGAATAAATTAACGAATTTAATATTAATTTATATACACCGTTGTTACCCAATATACGCATTCTATGCGTATGGTAGCATGATAGAACCAACAAAACTGTCTGGTAATAAAGGAAACGCAGTTTAATAGTTATCTGAATAATATATATAAACTTCAGCTTTAATAAAATAACGTTAAGTATATACTGTTACGAACAATATGTGGAAAAATGGAATTTTTATACCTTTGTTACCTGTTACCTGCCAAAGGAACCACGATCCAGGTTTCATGTGTGGGGATCGTTCTTACCTGTGTTGGGGACACACATACAAGAACTTTCACATTTACTAATAAGACGTATGTTTGGCCGTCGTGGGTTGTTGGGCTATATATATATTATAGATGATAATGGAGTAATGCACCCGCCTACACTGACGGTTTACGCTGGCAGGGCACCAGTGGAGGATAAGATGAGCATGAGGTCAGATCAATTAGCCCATCGTGACAAATTAACCAAAAAATTATCACGATAGTTCCCAGGAGGATGGAGGACGAGCGCGTAGAGGTCAACCTGGCATGATACATTACTAGCAATAAAATCATCAGTCCACATTACATCAGACAACATCCCCTTTCAACTCACAATCTGTATATTCATCCATACAAACAAACTTTCGCCTTTATTATATTAGCAGGAAGAAGTAGTACAGTATAATAGTACGATTGTATTTGGAAAATAATATAATTCAATACTGTTAGTAACCAACACAGATTTATTAAATGTTCGATTTTATACATTCAGTAATATTGCGACTTATTATATCTACATAATATTTATAACTATGTAGTTCTAATTGCTCCACCGACAAGAGCGTAACACTTAAATTATGAATGATGAATGAACTTCTAATTAAACTATCGGCAAACTTTAGATCCCATACTTTCAATAACAAACATAGCACCAGACACAAGAAATGTTTCAGCATGTAGGTTTTTGAGACTGACTATGAGATTTCTTTTATCGATTTTTTTCAATTCCGGTAACGTTTGTCTCATCTCGAAAGTCATGTATGGTAAAACAAGACAACCTATGCCAAAACACTTGCATCTTATACAATTTTTCCAAATTTCTTTCAAATCTTCGTCTTTAATCACTGGACAAACCGGTAATAAATTTATAGCATTTAGACATTTTCTCTTTTGATTTTCTGTAATCGGATAATCAGCACGTTGAAATGGAGATAATATGACTGCACGCCAAGCAGTACACAATATATCGTTAAGTGGTGACGATACTTTAAGTAATAAAGGTATCATTTCTTCATATAAACCAGCACGTAACATAAATGGTACAATATTACGAATAGTCTGTTTGTTGCCAAATCGACGAGCGATATCTGATGCTATTTTTAAAGCCTCAACATTAATCCCTGACGATTGTAATAATTGATCCAATGCACTTATTTTGTCTTGCATAAATGTGGCGATAACCCAAGGCATATCAATATTCTCTAAATTGACTATGCTTATTAATTCTAAAAGCGATGACCACAAAGAATCGCGGTCTCTATTTGTTACTTTTACAGCAGCGTCAGTGTCTATTACACTCATTAAACATTGTAGTGCTCGAAGTTTTTTACATTTATTAAAATCACTTTCATCATCAAATGCAATTCGAGATAAATAGATGGCCCCCATTTTTGGGCAAGTGGCTTTTAATATATATTTTGCAGTCATTAATTCTTTAGTATTCAAGCCTAAAAATAGTTTATGTTTATTTTCATTATTCGACTTCTCGAGAATATTTTCTAAAATTTGAATTCTAATTGAACTAATATTAATAGCATTTTTATCTGCGATTTCATTTGCTGCTCGATTAACATCATGTCGGCTCATTTTTTCAACAAAATTAGGATGCAAATACATAGCACGAATGAGTTGAGCGGGTTCTGTCGAAAGACGAACAAATTCATCACAATTCCATTCTATTTTATGTAAAGCATGACGGGTTGATAAAGTAGAATGCAAGCGTTCCATTTGTCGAACTGCCCTAACACCTGGCTGTAATGCTGCCCATTTTTCAGCAAATTGATAACATAATTGAGCTGCCGCTACCTGGTCGGCACCACGAGCACAGCCCTGAAGAACATAAAAAAGACAGGCACCAGCCCATTCCATATTAGCAATATGACTTACACATCGATGTGCAGCACGAAGTAATGGTTCTTGTCGACTAGAAAGCCGCCATGGTTCACTCTCTTTTGTATGGATATTAGTGACATCATCAGATTTTCTTGTAGTCATGGTTTGTTTCAAAGCATTGCTGCATATCATATCTTTCGCAATTTGAAAGTCAGGATCAAGCGACAACAATCCGACATTAGGTATCCACCGTTCATATGTTTCAAGCGTAATTTCGGATTTTAAATTAGACCACATATCGTCACGCAGAAATAAATGAAATGGTAGGCGATAGTAACCGATTTGCGGAAATATACCTTTTACAGAAAATAATTCAAATTCATATTGTTTGGGTGCACTTGATCTTCTATAACCTTTTAGAAAGTTAAGTAAAAAGTATTCTCGTTTATTTCGTAATTCCATTGATGAACCAAATATCAAGTAGTATATACAAATGTATATTTCGTAATAATAAGGATTTATAGAAATCAATCTGCCATGTATAGTAACTTCACCATTTTTCCAAAAATCATTTAAAATATCTCTTAAAAAGTCTTTATGATCAATATTTTCCCATATCACTGAACATTTAGTAGTTATTTCCTTTTGATTGTTGTCAAAATGTAAATGGGGACAATCTAAATCATCGTTAATTACCTTATACTTTAATTCCCAAGTTGTGAGAAGAGCTATCAATTGTAAAGATAATCCATCATCTACAGATAAATTCAATGTTCGGCACAAATCAAAAAGCCTGCTATAACAAGTATCTGGATTTTCTCTTAGCACATGAAATAATATAACCTTAACATCCCACGTTTCTTCATTACTATCAGGAAGAGCAAATTCAGCCAAGTTGATATTAAATTTACTTTTTAACATGTATTGAGGTGAACAGGATATTGAGTTTCCACTCAAACTAGAATCAAATAGAAATGCACGTCGTATTAAAGGCATCATAAGATAATTCGTAACAGCAGGAGACAAAGACTCATTTTGTCCTTGCAAGATTTCTAAAATCCACATTCTTTGATTTTTTATTTCTTTGTACTTGCTCAAAATAACCAATAAAGCTGTTAATAGAACTTCATCATAGTTTTTAGAACTCAAAATTTTAATTAAATTTTTTTGTGCTATCTTGTCCCTTTTTTCAAAGTAATAATTACATAACGGTTGACCCGAATGTACTGCATTTACCATAATACTCGACATCATAGTAAATGGTATAAAATCACACCTTTCAGAAGAATGAGATATTATATCAGTATGTTTAGGAGTTAGTAACTTATAAAAGTTTATTAAATCATTAACACCGGCAACTGATGACATAGGTAAAAATATATAATGGAACTTCCAGACAATAGATAGATTTCTTTGAATAATATTGGCATTTATTAATGCATTTATAATGGAATATTTTTCAGCAATACAGTGCAAATTTTCTTCAGCACAGTTGATTAATAATTCTATCAATATTTCATTTGCATCAAGTAAGAGTAAAGAATTGTCGCCATCCTTAAAATCAGATAATAGCGAAACAAAAGTTGCAAAGAACAAATTATTATCATTGCATTTAAAGAATGTATTAAGAAGACTCTCAACAAACTTTCGTGCTGAGTGGTTTGGTGTGGAAATTTTGCGTAATTGTCCCATCAGCATGGAATAGTGTGATTGATTAGTATATATTAATTGCGTTAAGCAACCACATTGTCCTGAAGTGGTGGTTTCTCCATATTTAATAAACCATGAATTTGTTTCTTTAATGCAACAATTCTCAACATATAATTTATTCAAATTTAAAGATATTTTATATATTTTTTTTAGGTAATACAATGTTTCAATATTTTTTATTTGACTGAAATTCAACATTTGAGTTCCCTTAAGAAAGTCCAAATAATTCTTTTCGATAATTGTATTCATTTTCTTATTAATTATTTGTTCATATTTAGACATGACAGATTTTAACAAGATTTTTTTGTCAGAAGTTGATAATTTTTTAAAATAGTCCAATGCCATTCTAGCGTCACAATCTTGAAGACATCTTGAAATATACGATATATGACCGTAATTCTTACATGTCGTCAAATTTGTTGTAACAACCTTTAGATCATGCAAATTAACTATTTGTGAATTCATTATTTTATGAAGAACCAATACATAATCAGTACATGTTAATGGAAAATTATATTTTTTTAAAATGACTTTAACATTAGCATAGTTAAGTTCTTTCTGTATTTCATATGCTAATGAACGATCTGTATCAGTCACCGTAAAATCTTTTGTAGCTGATGCAGCTGCAGTGATGGCTAAATCAATAATTATGGCATTCCATGGTACATCCAGTAACCTTAGGACTTGTAAGAGGCATTCTAATTTAGTTGTAGTTAAACGAAAAGAATTGAGCAGAATTTTTAAACGACAACCATCAACACTCCCTCCACCAGAAGTTGCTTCATTTTCTATGAATGTTTGAAGTGTATCATCCATATCAAAAAGATGTCTTGTAGCATAACATGGCAAATAATCCTGCAGAAAGATCTCTAAATCTTCAGTATAGCAACGATGCAACATAATAAGGGCGACTTCATTAGGATTTAGAGAACTAAGTTCACTCAATAACATGTTTATTTTGTATTTCTCTTTTAATTCAAGGATGTATGAGATTCGACCTTTCAGTGTATCTATATCATCCATAGATATAGGTCTAATTGACACTGTTTTAAGTGATAACTCTAAAACACTTGTTATTTCCTCAATGAATTTAATTCCTATTTTTGGCCAATATCCAGACTGCTCTAATTCAAATACTCGATTAATTGTCCACTTAACAATTAAATCAATAAAGAAAGGGTTTTCATCTAAGAGTGTAGGTACGAAGTTTTTTAGCCATATGATAAGAGCACCCATTTTAATATTGTATGGAATAGAGTACAAAATATCTGCAATGTCCTCTTGATTAAGTGTAATCTTTATTTCAGAGTACTTCAACCAACAAATTGTAGCCAAGTCCAAATCAGATTTAGTTAGAAACAGTATACAAAGCTGTTTAAAACTTTTATCAAAAAAATTTACTTGTTCATAATCATTACTGTTTCGAAATTGTAGGTACTCTAATAAATCAATTTTTACAATTAAATCGGCCATAAAAATAATTAGATCGCAATTGCCCGATGTATATATACGGTTTTGAAGAGGATATAAAACTGACTTATAAATTATGTTATGTTGACAAATTTTTGATGCAGCTTCCGCTAAAAAGGGAAGGTCATTAATTTTTTCAAACAATTGTTGCACTTGTTCAAATACCTGATTGTGCTCAGGTTGAGATATTAGTGTTTCAATTAAAGACTTAGTTTGTAGTTTAAGAGCTTCTTGTGATGACACATTATAAAATGAATTATTTAAACAGCAACTATTTTCAGATTTTTCCAAAGACATAGTGGGATTCCATCCACAGCAAACATCAACCTGGAATTTTAAGAGTTGACTACATATTTATATTAATGCTATATTAGTGTATAGTATAATTAGTAGGTACTCAATAATAATAGTATCCCTGAGCAATTCATACAGCACCATTTAGTACCAAGGTAAAAAGAGTTTGTATCATGGGTACCAGACAACTGATATAAATACTTAGATATATTTATTTCTAAATACATACACAACATACATAGAAAACACCCAAACCGATACAAACAGCCATAATCATTGATATGAATGTTTGTACTGTACAAGTAATTGAACACAACCTTTGGAAGTAAAGTGATGTGGACCACAGACCTAGTCAACAGAGGCCATCAAAGTAATATGTTAATTATGTAAGTAGATTAAAACATAAAATAACACTATCACCCAAAAGTAATTTATTGGAACCATTATTCCATGCATCAATTTATTTCATTAGAAATATAATTATTTAAATGATGAAAAATAATATACAGCTTGAAATTAGTACATAATTATAACACCTTATTTCTGGACACAGGTAGCAACATTATGTTATTTACATCATTATAATCCAATTGTTACAATACCACTTATTGCAAGTGAGTTTATCTCTATTCGTTAAAATTTAAACTATGTTTGTATTTACTTCAAAAATATCAAAATGGGGAGTGAAGTTTAAATCAAAAATATATCAAGCTTAATTTTTTTAGTTAAAAATTAAGTATAATAATTTAATAAAATTGAAATTATTTTAGAGTGTCCAAATAAACCTCTACATATGTTAGACTTATTACTAGTTCTATTTTAATTTTTCATTCATTTTCTACTATCATCAATCAATGATAAAAAAACAATGCTTAAAAATTTTTATGCACACTGAGTTTACATTTTTAGTTTGGAAACCTACTTAAGAAAAATGTATATTACCTTGTTCTCATCCCATGTAATATAATACAGAATGTTGTTATGCGACCCTATAGGGTAATATTTTTCCATAACATCATCAAACTTATGAAGAATTTTGCCATCCATTAAATCCACCACCCATAGGTGTACCTCATTTGACAGAACTGTAACATTTTCCCATTCTACAATATATTTCATCATCACATTTGATGATATGATTTCATGCAGCCCAGTTACAGGACATCTCAAAACAATATTATCATTTTTAATTTTCATATGAAGTCCATTGAAAGCTGCATTCGAAGTAAAATCATTTATTTTCAATGTAGAATTACTCACAGAGGCTTTCTTCAAGGTTACAGTAACTTGTTCTGTTTTTTGTGCAAACATATCTTCTAGTTCAATTGATGTATAGGGAGATAAAAAGCAGTCTCCATTCTTGCTAATCAAATATATATTTTCAAAGCTATCTGTTTTAAAATACAGAGGCATGGAAGTTAAGTTGTCAATAATAAGTTTGAGAACAGAACCAGTATTCAGATTTAGTACGTTAATTTCTCCAGATCTAAGAATGATCCAGAGATATTTTTTTTGTAGAGTTCTGTCTACTATTTCGTTGTTATAAACAGAAGTATACATTTCGATGTCATATTGTTCAGTCTCTTTACTTTGCAAGTCTATAGTCCGAACAATTGAATCATTTTCAATTAACAACAACTTAGGATAGCTAAAGAGAGCTTTTAACTGCTTTAAATTTTGAGTCTTGTAGTTTTTACACAGCGACGTCATTAAAGAGACCATGATAGGAATACTTTTTCAACTTTTAACTATCGTTGAAAATAATATTATAATTATATTTGTATATTAATTCAAAAAGCAACTATAGTTTTCCACTTGAACATGCACAATTTCCATAGATGTAGTTTGTTAATAACAAAATACTTGCAATATCTGTAATTTATAGTTAATGATAATAGTAGGATATTATTGATCAAAGAATAAAGTTCCTATCAAAGAGAATATCCAGTTAAAAATAATAGTTTGTAAATTTTAAGTGAACGAAATAACGTTAAATATTTAAATATTTTTTAAATTGCTTCTGTCATCTGGTACCACAGGTAATCATAAAATGTAGTACTCTGTGGAGCAGAATTGCCAACGCAAATAAACTTTCTTGCTCACAAACGAGTTTTTCTATAATTTTATTGTAATATTGTCAATTGTAAGTACCTATAGTTTTTAAATAGAGTTAAAAAATCTTGTATATTAGCTCACAAGCCACGTACATTGTTATGTATTGGTGTGGTAGGATGCGAATACCAGCCAATAGTATTGGAGAAGAACATAGTAAAAGAAATATTCTTATGATTTTTTTTTGATCTGATTATTTATTTCACGCTATATTTTATGAAGTATGACAATATACGAAGGTAATTTGTTATATGAAAAAGGTAGTTAGTCTTGTTTTAATGACGCAGTTGCTAATAATTCCAATTTAACAAAGACTATTAATTTTTAAGGGTGAACAGTTTGTAAAAAAAGTAGAGCCTTACGCCAGAAATCTTATTTTACGATTCATCTCTTATTTCGTGAAAATTAACTTCACTTTTTGGACAAATGTTACTAATATTTTTATTGGAAATAATAATGGCAAAATTATTTGTCTCTGCTTAAGGTACAATTAAAAAAAACACACGTTTAGGCGGCCATGATGGGAATTTGGAAATAATTTCAACATGGCGCCCGGTTGTTCGTATTGTGTGTGTGTGTGAAAGTGCAGTGAAAATATGTTAATACCTAATGTTTATAGTGATAATTTTAGTGTTTAAGTGAAAAGCTTGTGCTTTAATGCAGTGGTTTTCTTATCATGGCATTGGATTTACGCCTGCATTCTCCAGCAGGCGCCGAACCTGTTGTTTATACATGGCCCCTTACTTCGGGTCATGGCTCGGTAAGGAAGTCGTTTGTTTTCTTCTTACACCTACTTTCTTAGTTGTTGTTCTTTATCAATGATCATGACAGAATGTAATTGTCTCTCATTTATATCACTGTTGTCAAGAAATGCCTGGTTGTCTATCCATGTTAGACAAGTCTAAAATATCTAATCTCAAATGTCCTGTCCACAACGATTCTTAAAAGGTATGTTCACATGAAGTTTGTTTTTGTTAAACTTCATGTTATTATTCCTTATAAATAAAATTGTTTTATAGCATTGTAAAATTTTATGCAATGTTTATGAATAACATTATTATTAGGCTATTCTTCATATCACATGGGTTACAATAAAGAGTGTATTGACCTCGTGTTTTGTCAAGGTGTCGGCTTTTTTTAGATATGTACACACTGTTGCGTAGTTTTCACTCGTCATTCATTGTAGTTTATTTTATTAAAAGTTTTGTCTACACAATGAAGAATGTAAATGGAAATATATGATTAATAATTGTGTTATAAATAAGAAAATAACATTAATTGTAGAAATAAGTATAATGATAAATTCATATATTTTTAATACAATTAAAAACATTCCCTATTTTTATTGTATTATACATAAACCTTAAAAGTTGCTTGATTATACATTTTTGACAAGTATTCTTGTTAACCAACTTTCTTGTTCTTTTCATTTATTTCTTGATATATATAATTTTAAAAAGAAGTAATTGTTGTTTATTTTACAAAAAAAAAATCTTGTGTGTCCAAATAAACTTGTTTCAGTTTATTTGACTAACTTTATTTATTTTTAGGTCTTTTACACTAAACATCAATATTTTTCTTAGGCTGGGAAATAAATAAATATGAAATAAAAAGAAGAATTGTAATTAAAAGCAAACAATACAAGACAGTTTTAGTGATATTCAAATAATAATTAAATAAATATTTTATTGTAATGGTAATTATAATAACCAGGACCCTTCACACAACACCATGAAGTCCTAAACTAAGCTATTATTTTTTTATATTTAACACAATATAATATAGGTACATGGAAGTCATCCAGAGCAATACTAACAATCATACTAATGAATACAAAGTTTCTATTGTATCTGCAATCAGTAGTAAGGTGGTGTGATAAACCTTAAAATAATTTATAGGTAATGGAGGTATTAAGAGTTACTTCAAAATTATTATATATTAATGAAAAATTACCTATAATTAAAGATGTCTATTGAGTTTCTTATTGAATTGTTACCATATTAAAAGTTGATGGCAATATGCTTCTTAGCTTAGTACACTACACTAATTAAAGTACTTAACTAATTTTATTTTTTGAGACCTCAGAGCTTTTTGTAGCTGAAGAAATTTATTGTGTGACCTAGTATTTTTTACATTATATTTGTTTGGTAGTTCATTATTTTGTAGGTTATCCTCCTTTTTAGTATTTTGTTAAAGATAGTTTAATTAAAGTGTGATTTTGTGACAACCCTTGCAATTTTGTGAGCACATAGGATAACCTCTGTACTAGTACTAACTTTGTAGTCATAGTTAATGTGCACACATTCTATGGTGCATACACTTTCAAGTGAGTTATAAAGATGACATTTAGAATTTAATTAGTAACTAACTGTTACTTTTAAAAATGTAAAGGAGTTTTATATAATTATATTTGTTTGTAATGTGACTTATTTTCTATAATTTAGTATCATTGATGTCCATAGGAAACATATGTTAGAGGCTAATGCTATATATAATGAAAATGAACAAATGGTTAAATAATAATTTCAAACCAAAAACTTCTATAATAGTTAAGATAATTGTACTATAGGGCCTAATGAAAGTCAGCTGTAATTAGTGATATTTTTTAACTAAATAGTTCTGCTAATATAACCTCAGATTCTGTTGTTATTTAGGAAATTTATTTTAACAGGTTGTCTGCTGTTTAATGCATGGAATTCTACAAAATATAAATTATTGAACTATGGTTTAACTTAATTGTGTCATTTGTTTTTCTACAAAGCCATCTATTGAGCACAGGATGAAAACATTTGTTAATGTAATTTGCTAAATAAAACTGATAGCTGTAATGCATAAGGTAATTTTTTACAAAAAGTATATCATTAAAAGCAAGAATAACTAAATAGTGCTGTCTACATTTTGTGCAACCTGTTAAAATAATTTTCATAAATAACAATTGAAATAAACTTTAAAATTATAGTGCATGAGGTCTGTTTTTGCAACAAATAAAGTTGAAAGGTTAGGGAGGTACCTGTTCCTCTACCCATCCTAGGAACCGCAGCTGACATCTACTTGCTTTCATAATGCCTATATATTATAGAAGTTTTTTAGCAGGTACAAATTAGGCATAATTACCTGTACTGGGATGTGGGCTAATACGACCTGTCAGACTCTTGTGCTCATCATATTTTTTATCACTATTCCTACCATCCAATTCGGCTAGTTACTTCAGTTGAGAAAAATTGATTTATTTCTTAAATAACAGTGCCATTATTTGCCAAATTTTGTGCCAAACTTTATAAAGTTCATTTAAATAGTCCTACATCCACTTTCCAAATACCATAAAACATAATCTGTAATGATATACATGAATACTGATGATATAGATAGGTATAATAAAATGACCTATATTCATAAATAATTATTTTGGTGTTTACTTTACGTAATATTTACTATTTGCAAAATGCCAGTTAATAGTCAGTACAAAAACAGTAGAAATATGTACATCACATCTTTCTTAGTAAACTATCTTACATTACTTTGCCTATCCTTTGTTACTTGCCTGTGCATGTCTTACATAAGAAAATTTAAACAAAAAACAATACATATTTTGTGTTTTTACCATTGTATTTCTTGTGGAGTGTTGGTGTACAAAAGTATTTATGACTGCAGTATAGAAAAATAATTCTTAGGGGTCAGATGACAACATAACAGTTTCGCATGGATAGACAGCTAGTATGCATACATTTAGCTATTAACATCAACATGATTCTGAGACACTTGTATTATATATACCATTATTTAGTTGAATTTTGTTCTATGTTTATGTTTGTTGTTTCAGGACAAACACGATGGGGCCTTGGAGATAGTGGAAACCATACGGTGAGTTACTCAATATTAAGATCAATTAAATACTTTGATAAATCATCATTTGTATATTAGTAAATGTTTTTGTCTTTTTAATTAAGTCAGTCAGTAGTTTGCATCCATTTTAAGAACTTCGAAGGACATACGACTTAGAAGGGAAACATGTAAATATAAAATAACAGAATGAGAAAGTTGTTACTTTGACTGTTCTTATAAAGCCAGGTACATACATATGTTATAGCTGGTGTCTTCGTGAGAATGGAAAAGTTTTGTTTGATTGTTTTATTGCACAAACACATACTAGTTTCTAATTGTCGTATTAACAAAAATATTCCAAATAAATATTTATTCTAATCCAATTCCAATTCCATTACTGGTATGGTAATGGAATTTTGTTGCTATTTATGGTATTATAACTATTAATATTATTATACAATAGAGCTCTGCATTATAACATTTAATTATTATTATTGTTCCCACACGTCGGAAATAAAACAGGAACCAGTTTGGCAGGTTAGCAAATTCTCTGTGTGGTGGGTTTCGCCAGTTCTAACATTGCGACCTCATATCGACCGAGCATCTTATTGATAGCCTTGAAACTGCCCTCTTTTTATTTTCGTTGTATGCAGTTTAAACTAGTAGCAGAAAATAATACAATGCAACCTACGATCCTTAATTTTTTTCCTTATAGGTATAAAGTAACAGTATTATTATTTACTGTGTCTACTGTCTGTGATTTTAAACATTCTATTACGTTGTTACCACACTGCCTAAAGATCTCTATAAACCTGCAATATGCTGTCAGATTAACATCAATCCAATAAGAAATAATAATAATTTAGAACATGTTTTTATTATTTTATTTTCATTCCCATTGTAATTAGACTACTAACATCTAAACATATTTCAAAGAAATGGATAGCATTATTTGGTTCTGTAATCGTGATGTAAAATAGGCCGACACAGGAACAAAATATTACCATAAGAGTTCCATTTTACTTCATATTATAAACACACTATAATATAATACACCATGTACCATAATAATAGTAATATGTATATAAATACACACGCATATTTTAAGATGTTTGTTATACAGTATGTAATATTATCCAGGTGGGTGTGCGACGACTTACCAGAGATGAAGGCTGCACTCGAAAACAACATCCTGTGCGACTACGACACCCACTCCTACGAAAGCATGAGAGCTCTTTGCGACCGTTTCAACCGCGTCATCGATTCTGTTGTGGCTCTGGTAAATACTCTTTTATTTCTTTCACTGTTTTATTATTTTAATCTTACTAAGGTCGAATCTTATAAAAGTAAGATTCGTTAACGACTCGCATTCAAAATGTGTTAAACGAGGTAGACTATGAAGTCGTCTGCGTGCGTATGATTCTGGCAAGCAACTTGCTGTGTTTCGGTTGAAGGGCCGTGAAATTACACGATAAGAGGTATAAACACCTAAATCTCATAACAATTATTCTCTGCACTACCTATGGTTGTCTGGTAGAAAATAGCGTATGGTGTTAACTCCGCCATATATATAGGCAACGGTTACTACTTACCATCAGATGGATTTTCAGCTTGTTGTATTGAATGTAATGGTATTACATTTAATTTAAAAATGTTTGACATTTCTAGTACTCTATTATGAGTTGATTTTTTTATCTGTACAAGAAGAGTAGCCGATTGTTTGTTTTATTTAAGGTCTGTTAATTGTCTGGATAAAGTAAGTCTAGTTAGTGAAGGTTTAAATCTAATTTTGATCTAATAGCCTGACTAACAAAGAACTACTAAGTTAGACCATGGCAAACTCGGAAATAGATAGTTTATTGTTTTCGTCATCATACTGTTTCATTTATTTTTATTTGCCACGATTAACCAATTTGGTTAACAAACCGAATTTATGAAAATAATCATGGTTTATAATAAAAGAATCTCATATATATTTGGACTACGCAAATATGACCACGTTTCACATTATCGTTCACAGCTCAAGTGGCTCCCTGTTCGCCTTCGCCGTGACTGGCATATACTCTCTCTTTACTTCACATTCTTTTTAATCCTGTTACTCCTAACTATCTTAAAGAAAGATTTTCATTTCTCGGAGAGGCACAAAACCATGGGTTGCGTAGTGCATCAAATCTCCTCCTTAAAACTCCTTCACATAGTTCCTCATTCTACAGTAAATCCTTCTCAGTCCATGCTGTTCGCCTTTGGAATTCTATACCTTACTCCATTCGTAGCGCACAATCACTACCCATTTTTAAGAGCTCGGTTAAATCCCATTACCTTCCCACTTAAATCTCCCTGTATTCCTTCTTGCTATGTGTCTTGTTTCTTTGCATATGACATTGTTGTTTTGTACTTGTATTTATATATTTATATATGTATGTATATATTTTATATATAGTATATATAATGTGTGTTATTTTCTAATATTTATTGGTATTATTATCCTATCCCTATTATTACCTTTATATATATATTCTTCCATTCTATTCATGCGCCACTTACCACTTTTGTTATATTTTCTCTACCTAAAGGTTGTCTGGAAGAGATTGCTTCTAGCGATAAGACCGCCTTTTGTACTTCCATATCTCTTTTCTGTCTAATTCTTATGTATTAATTCGATTGGTGCAATAAAGAGTTTATAAATAAATAAATAAATAAATAAATATAAAACAAGATACTCGGGTCAAAGACTACTTCTTTCCTATATTCGTGTGCAAAATATTTTTTTTTTTACGGTTCTTAATTATTATTATTATGAATAATTTAATTAACTGACTCAATATTAAAACATACATTTCCTTTTGTCATTTTATTATATATAGGGAATCATTATGATTAATATTAATTATTATTATTTGTTAAATTTGTAATTAAATATTCACATTGTATTAAATTTGCGTGCTCAAAATGGAGCTGAATATGGAATTGTGTACATATTCCTAAGAACAATGTAATCTTCAAAGCAAATAAATAAATAAATATTTATAAAGTTTATACATTCCGTACCAGATTTTGACGTACCAACATGCTAAGATCTACTACATATATATAAACATTAGATATATTTTTTGTATAATTTAGTTTTTTTAAGGTATGTAATCCTTAATCTGACAACCATTTACATAGGTACTACAACCAAATTATTAGTTAAAGTTCTTAGGAGTCCAACCCGTTCGAACGCCTGAGAACATTGTCAGTTTACAATTTTATTTTCATTATAATAAAAACTAAAAACGGAACCATAAGAGTCCACGAATGTGACTCGCGGTTTACTGGTTTTTACTTCATAAGTCACTATAATCATAATAATATATTTAGATACAACTGCTTCCAAATATCGAAAACTACTTCGATACCTTATTTATAAATCTACGTCAGAGTCGCGTGATTGCTTAATACGTTTATTAATGGACAAGACGAGTATTGTGAGTTCATTGACTCTGCAGTAGAATAAAATAAATGATCATGAGCAAAACAAATAAGTCAGTTGGATGTTTTTATAAGTTTTTATTTCACTTCCTTAATATATATGTATTTCGTACCAATTCTTTTTTTTTTAATATGGTTGGGATGCCTAACAAAATTTTGGATACTTTTGTAATTCCGATACAATTGCAATATTGCTGGTCTCATGACGGAGTTGGAAGATGGCCATAGGAACTATTTAAATATAATGGCACTATTCTAGTTCAGTCTCGTTAGATTATGTAATAGAAGAAGATAGATGTTACTAATATTTAACATATAAAAGCTTTTTAGCTGTTTCTAAAATATAACTAATGTGATGTGATTTTTTTTCTTTAGATTGGATTTCTTAGATGGATTTTTGCGATATAATGCCATATTTTTTGTAAAAAAATTTCATGACGGCGATAATGAATAACTGTTAATTGGCATTATGCCGTATTGATACAAGGTCAGTAACTGACGTTAATTTCGGCGCCGAAATCTGAATCTTATTATTAACATGGAACTATTGGCCAAATAGGTCGGATCCATATTTCACAATACAATAGATTTCAGTTGCAGTTAGTTGTTTTGATGTTGCAAAAAATAACCATTTTTAAGTACGTTTATGTAATATTAAAAAAAAATAAAAAAAGAGGTGTATGTAGTAAATAAGATATTTACTTAAGACAAGCTGGTTACCCATGACTCCGTCGTTCTGTCTTATAAGATTAGTTATCGGCGAGTGAACGTCCTGTCAAAATCGGTTCAGACATTTCAGAGATTAGCTAGTCAATCAGACGGACAGACAAATATGTATGATTTTTTTTATATCAGTACCGTTTCATATGTAATTAGTGTAAAACTGTTTATTTGAAATTACAAACAGACAATTCTATTTCATTTATTTGCATAGATTCGTCAAATAGCCATGCAGTAGATTTTCCGTCATATTACATCCCGTCGCATTTAAAAAAACCATTATACATTTAAAAAGTATTATTACCATACAACATTGGCTGCATCCCTTCTACTATTATGAAAACAGGAACGTGACATAATTAGGCAATCGACCGTGAATACCATGCGTCACTCGCGCCCTGACCTTCACACAGAAGTTTATTCCAGAGCGATCCGATGACTCCTACTACCACCCAACGCCCTTCTACCGAACTCATCTCTACTCACTATATTCATATTTCGGTTTATAAACACTTATACATACCGGGAAATAAATAAATTGTTTGCTTTAAAACTAAGAGGAGGTTCTATATGCTGCTGTATTTTTTTAACATTTGCGACCAATTTTCTTTTCTTATACGGGGTTAACTATTGTGGTATTTTTATTTAGATGAACATAGCGCCAACTCTAGCCCCTGCTCTGAATTACCGTATTTTAATTACCCATTATTCAAACATAAAAAATGACAATTCATATAGGGACGCTGTAGTTTGTTACCGAGGTCAAAACAAATAGAATTTAAGATCACTTATATTCTTAAAGCCCAAAACGTACGTGGGTATTTATTGTACTTAGGTAACTAGTTAGAGTTACCTAAGTACAATAAATACCCACGTAGGTATAATTATATTCATATTATTAGGTAATGCCAGTATCGAGAGTTTCTAACGATTATTACTATACTTATCTTCTTATGCTTAGAATGTTATTTGAGAGTTCTCTCTCTCGAGTTGAGAGAGTCAGAAAAATATTACAATGAACACAGGTAAAACAGTTCGATTAGTTGTTTGTTGCAGGTTATTAATGAATTCCGCCGTTCCGGTGGGTTGCACAGGTCGTGTAAATAATGAGGCCAATAAATCGTAATGCATTTGAAATGTAGGTTAGGTGACAATAACCACTTTCAGTCGTTGTTTTGTATTTCATATACATTTAATTAAATTACGTCCGTATACAGTGACAACACTTCCATTTTATACAAAATTTTATTAGTTAGGTTGTCTTAGAAGTCGTATTGCCGCTGAGTTTTTATTAATGATATATTTATAATTACTTGTATAAATACAATTAATTCCACTTTATGAGGCAATATAATATGAATAGAAATATGATTAATCTCCTCTTATTTTTTATATTATATTATAACCTGGTCTTATCTTATTACCGTAATACGTAAACCCTGTGACGATAAAAATAAAAAAATGTTTTTAAAATTGGGTTTTTTCACAATTGGTAATGTAAAATATGATTTGTTCCATTTTATCGTTGTCGGAATTCTAAAAAGCTTTTATAGAATTTGGCCCCGTTTATTCTTTAAAATCAAAAATCTTTTTATATTCCGTAATATCTCGTAATAACCGAAGTTGACATACACTGCCAATATACTGCTTCCTAAATTATATTGCTCCCGCATAGCATTCAAAATACGAATTATGTGGATTGCTATATTGGATTTTAAAGTAGAGAACTAAAAATGTATCGGTACCAGATTTAGCTTTGATTTAATAATAAATAATAATAAACACATACCTTTTTAGTATTAAAAAAATATTTCAAGCGTGATTCAATACCAATAAAAAAAATTTTTTACGAATAAACATGTTCAGTAATATTAACCTACTAAAACACGGAAAGACGTTTTCTCCTTGAAGATATTTTTACACAATTGGCACTTGGCATGTAGTGTTTTCATTAAGGACCCTGCTGAGTGAACATTTTAATATGAATTAATGTTTTACTGTACGACCTGTGTTTAATTGACATACCAAAAAATTTTCCATTTTCACTCACATTTTCTTAGGTCCTCCTTTTCTGATATACCAAAAGGA